GACAGTGTAGGGTATACAAACAATGCACATAGGATTGTACAGGGTATAACAAACAATGCACATAGACAGCAGGTATACAAACAATGCAATATAGACAGTATAGGTATACAAACAATACATAGACAGTATAGTGCATACAAACAATGTAATATAGATTTAGTGCAGGCATACAAACAACGCACACAGACAGCAGGCATACAAACAACATGTATACAGACAGCAGGCACAAACACACAATGTAGTATAGACAGTGTGCAGTGCAAAACAATGTAATATAGACAGTGTAGGTATACAAACAATGCAATATTGTGACAGTGCAGGTACACAAACAATGTACATAGACAGCAGGTATACAAAATGTACATGGACAGCAGTATACAAACAATGCACATAGACAGTGTAGGTATACAAACAATGCACATAGACAGTACAGGTATACAAACAATGCAATACAGACAGTGTACATAAACAATGCACATAGACAGTACAGGTATACAAACAATGCACATAGACAGTGCAGGTATACAAACAATGCAATACAGACAGTACAGGTATACAAACAATGCACATAGACAGTGAGACAAAACAATGCACACAGACAGCAAGGTATAACAAATGAATGTTGTTATATAGTATGTCAAACAATGCAATATAGATCAGTGTTATGTTATCAAACAATGAAGACAGTAGGTATAAAACAATGCAATACAGACAGTGTAGGTATCAAACAATGCATATAGCAGTGCAAGGTATACAAACAATGTACATATGTGCAGGCATACAAACAATGTACATAGACAGTAATAGGTATCAAACAATGTATAGTCAGTACAGGTATAAACAATGCACATAGACAGTGTAGGTATACAAACAATGCAATATGGACAGTGTAGGTATACAAACAATGTACATAGACAGTACAGGTGATACAACAATGTAATATATAGACAGTGCAGGTATACAACAATGCACATATAGACAGCATAACAAACAATGCAATACAGACAGTGTAGGTATCAAACAATGCACACAGACAGTGCAGGCATACAATGTAATATATAGTATACAAACAATGTAACAGACAGTGCAGGTATAAACAATGCATACTGACAACAGTGCAGTATAAAATGTACAGACAGTGCAGGTATACAAACAATGCAATATAGACAGTGTAGGTATAATAATGTGCATAGACAGTGTAGGTATACAAACAATGCATTAGACAGTACAGGTATAATGTACATAGACAGTGCAGGTATACAATGTACATATAGACAGTGAGTATACAAACAATGTACATAGACAGTGCAGGTATACAAATGTACACAGACAGTGCAGGTATACAAACAATGCATATAGACAGGGTATATACAAACAACGTACATTAAGACAGTAGGCATAAACAAACAATGCAATACAGACAGTGCAGGTATAACAATGCAATACAGACAGTGCAGGCATACAAACAATGCAATACAGACAGTGCAGGTATACAATGCACATAGATATGCAGGTATGCAAACAATGTACATAGACAGTGTAGGCATACAAACAATGCACATAGACAGTACATAATGTACATAGACAGTGCAGGTATTATAATGTATATGACAGTGCAGGTATACAAACAATGTACATAGACAGTGTATATACAATGTAATATAGACAGTGCAGGTATACAAACAATGCATGATAGACAGTGTAGGTATACAAACAATGTCATAGACAGTACAGGTATATGACAACATAGATGGCATACAAACAATGTAATATAGATTGTGTAGGTATTATAAACAATGTAATAGAGATCAGTATAGGTATGGACAATTGTAGCATAGACAGTATAAACAATGTAATATGTATAGTGATACAAACAATGTACATACAGTGCAGGTATACAATGTACATAGACAGTGCAGGTATACAAACAATGTACATAGACAGTGAGGTGATACAAACAATGTACATAGACAGTGTAGGTGTAATAATGTACATGACAGTGCAGGTATACAACAATGTGTTTTGGGTGTGGTTTGTTTGTTGGTGGGGTGGTTTGTTTTGGTGGGGGTGTTGTTGGTGGGTTGTGTGGGTTGTGTGTGGGGGTGTACATAGATCGAGCAGGTATGTCAATGTAATATAGTGAAAGTGCAGGTATATCAATGTACATAGACAGTGTAGGTATAATAACAATGTACATAGAGTCAGTGCATAATAATGTACAGACAGTGCAGGTATACAAACAATGTAATAGACAGTGTAGGTATACAACAATGTACATAGACAGTACAGGTATACAATGTACATAGACAGGTATACAAACAATGCATATTGTGACAGTGTAGGTATACAAACAATGTAACATAGACAGTACAGGCATACAAATGCAATACAGACAGTGCAGGTATACAAACAATGTACATAGACAGTGTAGGTATACAAACAATGTAATATGATTGTGACAGGTATACAATGTACATTAGATTGTGTAGGTATAGCAAATAATGTACATAGACAGTGTAGGTAGGTGGTTGTTTGTTTTTGGGTGTTGTGGGGGCACAATGTGTACATATGAGGTAATAAACGTACATAGTGATTGGGTGGGTATACAAACAATGCACATAGACAGTGTAGGTGACAAACAATGTACATGGTATCGGTGGTAGGTATACAAACAATGTACAGACAGCAGGTATTGCAAATAATGTACATAGACAGTATGTATACAAACAATGCAAATAGACAGTACATAATACAATGTGACAGACAGTGCAGGTATAAAAAACAATGCAATATATCATGTAGGTATATACAAACAATGTACATAGACGGTATATATACAATGTAAGACAGTGGAAAGTATATAATGACGATATTGATCAGCAGGTATTGGCAAACAATGTACATAGAAAGTGTAGGTATGTCAACGCATATTAGATTGTGTGTATACAAACAATGTAATATGGTACAGTGTAGGTATACAAACAATGTATATAGACAGTGTAGGTGAAAACAATGTAATATTAGACAGTGCATATAAACAGTGTAATATAGACAGTGTAGGTATACAAACAATGTAATATAGACAGTGTAGGTATACAAACAATGTAATAGACAGTGGGTATACAAATAATGTACATAGACAGTGCAGGTATACAAACTGCAATATAGATTGGTGCAGGTATACAAACAATGCAATAGACAGTGTAGGTATACAAACAATGTAATATAGACAGTACAGGTATAAATGTACATAGACAGTGCAGGTATACAAACAATGTACATGACAGTGTAGGTATACAAACAATGTAATATTAGACGTTACAGGTATACACGTTAGACAGTGCAGGTATTATCAAACAATGCAATAGAGCATGTTAAGTATACAAAACAATGTGACAGATCAGTAATGTAATAATGACATAGACAGCAGGTATACAAACAATGTACATAGACAGTGTAGGTATACAAACAATGCACATAGACAGTATAGGGTATAATAATGTAATATTAGACAGTGTAAATAATAAATAATGTACATAGACAGTGTATATATACAATGTACATAGTGCAGGTATACAAACAATGCAATAGACAGTGTAGGATAAAACAATGTACATAGACAGTGTAGGTATTGGCAAATAATGTGCATTTGTATCATGCAGGTATACAAACAGTATTACAGACACAGGTATACAAGTAATATTGTGAAAGTAGGTATTAATGTACATATAGAAAGGTAGGTAATAAACAATGACATAGACAGTACAGGTATACAAAGCAAATATTTGATCAGCAGGTATTACAATGTACATAGACAGTGCAGGTATACAAACAATGTACATAGACAGTGCAGGTATACAATGTAATAGACAGTGCAGTATACAAACAATGTACATATAGACAGTGTAGGTATACAAATTAATGTACATGTTGTGACAGTGTAGATACAAACAGTGTACATGACAGTGTAGGTATACAAACAGTGCATATAGACAGTGTAGGTATCAAACAATGCACATAGACAGTGTAGGTATACAACAATGTACATAGACAGTGCAGGTATACAACAATGTTATGAGGGGTGTGTGGAGTCAGCAGTATACAAACAATGCACAGACAGGTGTAGGTATACAAACAATGTACATAGATTGAAAGACAGGTATACAATGCACATATATCAGCAGGTATACAAAACAATGCACATAGACAGTGTATATACAAACAATGTAATATGTAGACGTTACAGGTATACAATGTACATAGACAGTGCAGGTATACAAACAATGTAATAGACAGCAGGTATACAAACAATGCAATAGACAGTACAGGTATATGTACATAGACAGTGCAGGTATACAAACAATGTAATGTAGACAGTGTAGGTATACAAACAATGTACATGGTATCAGTACAGGTATAAATGTACATAGACAGTGTAGGTAATAATAAAAATGCATTTGTATAGGTGTAAGGGAGTATATCAATGTACATAGTGCAGGTATACAAACAATGTTGGTGTGGTGTTTTGTTGGTGTGGTGTTGCACATAGACAGTGTAGGTATACAATGAATGATAGACAGTGTAGGTATACAAACAATGTAATAGACAGTGTAGGTATAACAAACAATGTACACAGACAGTGTAGGTATACAATTGCACATGACAGTGTAGGTATACAATGCAATGGTATTGGTGCAGGTATACAAACATCGACCAGGACACTGTAAAATTTTTCATTCTATAATTATGCTGCTTGTTTTCTTCTTGATTTTAATTATACTTTTAACACTTATTTTTATTTTCATTTAATGTGTGCTATTGTCAACTTTACTGCTGTGATGTGAATTTAATTATACACTTGTGGGGTATGTCAATAGTTTGAGAGCTTCCCTAGTGACTGGGGATCAGAGAATACAGTAGTAGTAGCCTCGTGTATTTTCTAAACCAGCTGACGGCATGTACAGTAGTATACCGTTAGCTGATCCACTGTGTTGCCCCAGATGGCGTGAAGGTGCCTAAGCAGTAATTTCAGCTGTGGACTCTCCAGGAACTCATCAGGAGTCCACCTCACCTCGATTTGCACTCTGTCCTCGACTTCTCCGACAACGAGCTGGAGGACCTTCCTGCCGGGGTGTTCCAGCCACTCGATGCGCCTACCACTCTCATCCTCTGGAACAATAAAATAACAAGTATTGATGAAAACGTAAGATCATGTCCGTGCTTAATGTGGAGTAGAGCCGATGTGGGTATATAGTGAGGAGTACTGTAGCCAGCAGTAGAGAGGAGCAAGAGAAGGTCTTGTAGCCAGCAATGGAGGAGCGAGGAAGGTCTTGTGGCCACTAGTAGAGGAGGAGGGAGTGGTCCTAGCCAGTAGTAGTGAGGAGGAGGAAGGTCTCTGTGTCAGTAGTAGAGGATGAGGGAAGGTCCTAGAGCCAGTAGCAGAGGAGGAGGTGGGGCTGTCCTAGTGGGCCAGCCAGAAAGAGGAGTGGAGGAAGGTCCTAGAACAGAAGCAGATGAGCCGAGGGAGGGTTCTCAGGCCAGTTGTAGAGGAGGAGGGGAAGGTCTTTGCAGCTGCAGAGAGGGATGGGGAAGGTTTTAGCCAGCAGTGGAGGAGTGAGGGGAAGTTGTCTTGTAGCTGTAGTAGAGAGGAGGAGGGTTGGTCTAGGAAGCAGAGGAGGAGGGAAGGTCTCAGCTGGTAGGTGAGAGGAGTTGAGGAGGGTTCAGGGCCAGTTATAGGAGGATGGAGTAGGCCCTTAGGCTGTAGCAGAGGAGGATGAGTTGGGTCTTGTGGCCAGCAGGAGTGGAGGAGGAAGGTCTTGTAGCCAGTAGTGGAGGGATGGGGATGGTTGTAGCCATGTGTGGGAAATTGGCCAGGCATGATGATGAGGGGATGGGTCCTGGTAGCTCAGTAGCAGAGGAGGGAGGTGGGTCTGTGTCAGTTATAGAGTGATGAGGAAGCGTCCTTGTAGCTAGTAGTAGAGGAGGAGGAGTGGGTCCTTGGACAAGATTGTTGATGAGGGAGGTCCCAGGTTGTCTGTGTAGTGAGATGAGGGAACTTGCAGCCAATGCAGAGGAGAGGAGGGAGTATTTGTGGCCAGTCATATATGAGTGAGGGTGGTACTGGGTGCAGGAGAGGAGGAGGAAGGTCCTAGTGGGTAGCAGAGGAGGAGGTGCTGGGCCAGCCAGATGAGGAGGGAAGTCTCTAGAGTCAGTAGTAGATGAGGAGGAGGGTCTAGCCAGTATAGAGATGAGGGCTGTCCTGTGGTGTAGAGAGTGAGGGTTGTCCTTGTATGACAGAGTGGAGGATGTTGTGTTGGGGAGGGGGAAGGTCCTATATGCAGCAGAGATGAGGAGTGTCTTGCACAGCCAGGAGAGGAGTGAGGGGGTTTGGCCTCAGCAGTGAGTGAGAGGAGGGAAGTTTCAGTAGCCAGAGTGAGTGAGGGTAGTCCCAGCTAGCTGCAGAGGATGGAGGGAAGGTCCTGGCCAGTAGCAGAGAGTGAGGAAGGTCCAGGCTAGCAGAAGAGGAGTTGAGGGAAGTGGGTCTCAGGTCAGCAGTGAGGAGGAGGAAGGTCCTGTGGTCAGTAGTAGAGGAGTGAGGGGAATAGTTTGTAGGCCAGTAGTAGATGAGAGGGAGGGAATGATCTAGGAGCAGTAGTAGAGGAGTGAGGGTGCTGTCCTGTAGCGTACAGTAGAGAGGAGGGGGGAAGGTCTTACAGTAGCAGAGGAGGAGGGTCCTTGTGCCAGTAGAGGAGTGGAGGAAGGTCCTATAGCAGTAGTAGAGGAGGAGGGGTGGTCCTGTGGGTAGTAGAGGAGGAGGGAAGGTCTTAGCTGGGTGGTAGAGTGGAGGAGTAGTGTCTTGAGTGAGCAGAGTAGGAGAGGGGAGGTCTTGTGGCCAGTAGTAGAGGAGTGGGGGATGGTCTTGTAGCCAGTAGTAGAGGAGTGAGGTAAGGTCTCTAGGCCGGTAGTAGAGGAGAGGAGGGGAAGGCCTTGTAGTCTGTAGAAGAGGGGTGAGGGGTCGTCCTGGCCAGTAGTGAGAGTGAGTGGGAGGGAAGGGGTCCTGGGATAGTAGTAGAGGAGTGAGGGAAGGTCTTGTAGCAGTAGTAGAGGAGTGGGGGGAAGTTCTATTGTAGGGTAGAGGAGTGAGGGAAGGTATTGTGGCCAGTGTGAGGTGGAGGGGAGGGTCTCTGTGTCTGCAGCAGAGGAGTGAGGGAAGGTTCAGGAGCCAGGTAGTGGAGTGAGTGAGGAAGGTCTTAGTAGTGAGTAGTAGAGGAGGAGGGAAGGTCTTGTGTCAGTAGTGAGGAGGAGGGAAGGTCTCAGAGTAGAAGTAGTGAGTGGGGAGGAAGGTCTTGTAGCCAGTAGTAGAGGAGGTGAGGGAAGGTCTTGTAGCCAGTAGTGGAGGAGGAGGGAGTGGGTCTGCAGCCAGTAGTAGAGGAGGAGGCCTAGGCTGTGCAGATGAGTGAGGGTATTCTTATAGCCAGCAGTGAGAGAGTGAGGAGGGTCTTGCAGCCAGTAGTAGAGGAGTGATAGCAGTCTTAGTCAGTAGCAGAGGAGTGAGGAGGGTCTTGTCAGTAGTAGAGGAGTGAGGGAAGTCTTGTAGCCAGTAGTAGAGGAGCAGGAAGGTCTTAGCCAGTAGTAGATGAGTGAGGGAAGGTCTTGTAGCCAGTAGCAGAGGAGTGGGAGGTCTTGTAGCCAGTAGTGTGAGAGGAGCGGAGGGAAGTCATCCTGTAGCCAGCAGTAGAGGAGGAGGGAAGGTCTTAGCCAGTAGCAGAGGAGGAGGGAAGGTCTTAGGGCCAGTAGTAGTGAGTGAGGGAAGCTGGTCTTGTACTGTAGTAGTAGAGGGGGAGGGGAAGGTCTTTGGAACAGTAGTAGAGAATGTGAGGAAGGTCTCAGGTGAGTAGTAGAGATGAGGGAATTGTCTAGGCCAGTAGTAGAGGAGTGAGGGAAGGTCCTAGCCAGTAGTAGAGGAGGAGGGAAATGTCTTAGAAGCCAGTAGTAGAGGAGTGAGGGAAGGTCCATGTCAGCAGTAGAGGAGTGATGAAGGTCTTAGGCCAGAGTAGAGGAGTGAGGGTAAGGTCTTGTAGCCAGTAGTAGAGGAGTGGAGGGAAGGTCTTTGTAGCCAGTAGTAGAGGAGTGAGGGGAAATCCTGTAGCCAGTAGTAGAGGAGTGAGGGAAGGTCCTAGGCCAGCAGTAGAGGAGTGAGGGTCGTCCTGTAGCCAGTAGTAGAGGAGGAGGGAAGGTCTTGTAGCCAGTAGTAGAGGATTGGAGTATCCTATGCTGTAGCAGATGAGTGAGGGGTCCCTGTAGCCAGTAGTGAGAGGAGGGAAGGTCCCAGGTCAGTAGAGAGTGAGAGGAGGGAAGCCAGTCTTAGGCCAAAGTAGTAGAGATGGAGGGAAGGTCTTGTAGCCAGCAGAGAGGAGTGAGGGAAGGTCTAGGCTTGTAGTAGAGGAGGAGGGAAGGTCTTTGGGCCAGTAGTAGAGGAGGAGGGAAGGTCTAGGCCAGTAGTAGAGGAGTGAGGGAAGGTCTCTAGTAGCCAGTAGTAGTAGAGGAGTGAGGGTTAGTTCCTAGAACAGTAGTAGAGGAGTGGAGGGAAGGTCTTAGGTCAGTAGTAGAGGAGTGAGGGGAAGGTCTTAGGCCAGTGCAGTAGAGGAGTGAGGGAAGGTCTTGTGGCCAGTAGTAGAGGAGTGAGGGAAGGTCTGTAGCCAGTAGTAGAGGAGGAGGGAATGGGTCTTGTAGCAGTAGAGGAGTGAGGGAAGGTCTAGCCAGTAGTAGAGGAGTGAGGGAAGGTTTAGCCAGTAGTAGAGATGAGGGAAGGCCTTGTAGCCAGTAGTAGAGGAGGAGGGAAGGTCTTAGCCAGTAGTAGAGGAGTGAGGGAAGGTCTTAGGCCAGTAGTAAGAGGAGTGGAGGGGAGGTCTTGTAGCCAGTAGTAGGGAGTGAGGGAAGGTCTTGGGCCAGTAGTAGAGGAGTGAGGGAAGGCTCTAGGCCAGTAGTAGAGGAGGAGGTGGGGTCTTGTGGCCAGTAGTAGAGGAGTAGGAAGGTCTAGGCAGTAGTAGAGGAGGGAGGAAGTGGTCTTTGTAGCCAGTAGGTAGAGGAGGAGGGAAGGTCTCTTGTAGCCAGCAATGGAGGAGGAGGGAAGGTCTTGGCCACTAGTAGAGGATGAGGGAGGGTCCTTGTAGCCAGCAGTAGAGGAGGAGGGGTCCAGGTCAGCAGTAGAGGAGTGAGGGAAGGTCCTTAGCCAGATAGTAGAGGAGGAGGGAAGGTCTTGCAGCCAGTAGTAGAGGAGTGAGGGAAGGTCCTAGAGCCAGTAGTGAGGAGGAGGGAAGGGTCTTGTGGCCAGTAGTAGAGGAGTGAGGGAAGGTCCTAGCCAGTAGTAGAGGAGTGAGGGAATGTCCTGTAGCTAGCAGTAGAGGAGGAGGGAAGGTCTTGGCCAGTAGAGAGGAGTGGAGGGAAGGTCCTTGTAGCCGCAGTAGAGGAGTGAGGAAGGTCTTGGCTCAGTAGTAGAGGAGGAGGAAGGTCTTGTAGCCAGTAGTGTAGAGGAGGAGGGAATGTCTTAGCCAGTAGTAGTGATGAGGGAAGGTCTTAGAAGTAAAGGTCTAGTGATGTAACTTCCTCTTATCTAATACACTACGATATATATATATATATATATATATATATATATATATATATATATATATATATATATATATATATTATATATATATATATATATATATATATATATATTTTTTTTTTTACGGGGATTAGCCCACTCGGGCAAGGGTCACTGACCTACATCGGGGCCTGGGGGTAAAAATGTAGTAGTAGTAATAATAATAATAATAATAATGATAATAATAATAATAATAATAGAGAACCATAAATACAAAATTGAAAAAAAAAAATCAAATTAAGAAACAATATATGTATGTTGTGTTGTCAATAGTAAGAGAATTGAGACCCTTCAATTGTGTGTAAATGAGGCAGAAAGACAGATAAGCAACCTGGGCTGGGTCACATTTTTTGTGAAGCCATATGGCAGCAGGGTCTACCATTAGACAACACATTATATTTCCATATCATGGTCCCATTAACACATAATACTGTATTGTCTAGGAGAGGGGGGGGGGGGAGGTGTCTGTAGTAAAACAAACAAATCAGTTAAGATCCCGTTAATTAATATCAACAACTCAAGTGGGTTGTTTTTTTTCTCGTAACTTAGGTCAATGAGTCTCCTTTATTTTTCTTTATTTATCATTTCACAATTTATCAGCTTACTTGCTGTTCTTTGTTACCTTATGACCTACACTGGTCCAGTGTTAGTACAGGAGGAAATCCAAGTACCAGTAGGAAGCCCTGTAATGTTTAATAAAGTCACACTGGACAACTTCTTTCTCACGTCTGTCCAGGGACAGGGATTGAACCCAGGACAAACCTATATATTACGTGCCTCACCGCTGTACCACCACCTATGTTCTTACCTGAGTTCTGGGAAGAAAAGTGACCAAAGAATCTCTCAGAAAGTATTAGCTGGCCTATCAGAAACTGGTAAGATGTGTCCACCTCGACAAGAGAGGTGTCCTGTAGAGGTTACAAGATAAAAGTCAATACTGTACTGTACTGTACTGGCACATTACCAAAACTGATATACATTGTTATCACTCTAGGCTTCCTGGTAACACAGCTCTATTCTTGTCTTCAGTTTAAAATATTATTTCTACGTATTATCACAACACGCGTCATGTCCTCTTCAAACTTACCTTGTCTATCAAAACTCAGTTAAACTTAAAATATTGTTTCTTTGGTTAACAACAAGAGCCAGTAATATTATGTATATATATATATATATATATATATATATATATATATATATATATATATATATATATATATATATATATATATATATATATATATATATATATACATATATATATTCGTAAATGGGTAACAAGTGGCTAACAAGTGGTTTACAAGAGGCTAATAAAATAGGATGTTGGCACTGCTCATAACAGATGTGACAGGTACGAGGCGTCACATCATATACTACAGTACTGTGTTGCAGGCGTTCGTCGGGTTGCGTGCCCTCACCGTACTGGACTTACGCTACAATAAGATAAACACGCTACCCAAGGATGTGTTTAAGGATTTGGTTCAACTTAAGGAGCTTCAGTTGGGATTCAACCCCATGGTATTGCTTAACTCTACGCTGCTGTCTCACACCCCGGCCCTTAGGAAGCTTGACCTCAGTTCTCTGGGACTACATACCATCCATCCCTCCTTCTTCCCCAGGAACCTCACGTAAGTAGACCTTCCCTTGTTATCACTCCGCGTCTCCGTAGTACTTAAGTCTGTGAAAGAGAAAGATACACCCCTGGGGAGGCTGAACCAGAGATCATAGGGATAACACTCCGTCTACTCCCGGCAGGTTCCTTGAAGAGTTGTCTCTCGCCCACAACCACCTCACCGTCGTGCCTTCCAAAGCTCTTTTTATCTTCCACGACTCTCTCACCCACCTCGACCTGTCTGGCAATCCCTTTGAGGTACGTGGCAACATCTTCACGGCATATGGCAACCCCAATTAAGGTGAGTGGCTACGTTGACCTGTCTGGCAACCCGATTCAGGTGCGTGGCAACCTCTTCAAGGTCTTTGACAACCAAGTTACTGCATGTGGCAACTCTTTCATGGGATACGGTAATCCACGTCGTTTTTAGTGGCCATTTTATCATGGTAAACGTCATTCCTATGGTACATTTACACACACAGTGTAGGTATACATAAAAATAATGTACGGACATAGACAGTGCAGATATACAAACAAGGTGCAGGTATACAATAGACAGTACAGGTATACAATATGAACATAAAGCAAGGATAACGTTACCACGTTCACAAGAGATGGTTGACATGTGATGTCTCGCTGCATTTCATCGCCACGATAATAGTCTTAATTGCCTCACTAATTCACTCAATTTTACGTAATATATTTTTCTCCTTTATCAGAATCTTGGTAAAACTAACAAAAAGTTCCAGTTTACAATCTCAAGATATATAAAGTTGCTATGAATATTAAACGAGAAGAAACGCTTATAGTTACGTTCACTATCCACAGTCTCTGGGTGCGTACTCCTTTTATGGGCTGTCTAACGTGAAGACACTGATCCTGGAACAGATGCTGAAGCTGGAAAGCATTGACGCCTACGCTTTTGGAGACCTCCACCACATGGAGACCATCGTCCTCCGGTACATGCCAAAGATCCAGTCCATCCACCCAAAAGTAAGTTTTTTATTTTATATTTTTTTTTTACTTTTTTTATTATTATTTACTTAAAGAGATTTCGTTTTACAGTTAATGGTAGAGTACCTTTATTAGAAGCTAGTACAGGCATCATCACCTGCTAGATCTCTGAGCTATTGTATGCTGATGATACATATTGATAGTCATGGTGTACATTAATAGTAATAATATTCGTTGATAATAATGTGATGTAGTCACAAACCGAAGCTCTTTGTTACCCCCTAGCAGCTAGGGCCTAGCTGGAGGTAAGGCCAAGCCAAGGCTGAAGAAAGGCCAGGTGAATGGACATACAATATGCTTTATGGTGTTGCTATATATTAATATTCATAAAGTCATTATAGCTGTACCAACAAACCATATATGTCAATGTTTTCAATTAGATTCATACCCGTGCTCGTGTGTTTTGCCTAAGTGATTGTGTTGAAGGCTCCACCGTCATCTTGCCTCATCGCCAAACGAATGAACGAGTGTAATGTCCGTTCGTCTGGCCTTTCTTCAATCTTGGTTTGGTCTCAGTGGCGTATATGGGGGGGGGGGCACTCGGCCATGCCCCCCTCCCCTTTCTCATCACTACTACTCCTTTGCAACTTCTTTCCTTGAGCGGCTTGAACAGCTGTTGCCTCACTAAAAGTTTGCAGAGAATTTGGCATATAACAAAACAGCCAAACTCTGATATATATTCTTGCAACACTTCTTGTGGCAACTGCTACAAATGAAAGCTCATTCAGCTGCTTAAAGTATCTGCGTTCCACTCTGTCAGAACAAAGACTGAATGAATTAGCTTTACTGTTTGTACACAAAGATATGGTACTGAATTGCCATGGGGTCATCAATGAATTTGGTCGTAAGAACAGATTACTTGACTTTGAACTTCACAAGTAAGCTGATACTCTCTCTTAACTCCAGTTCCAAGGACTTAATTTTGCAACAATCCTAGAAGAGAAAAGTGTGTTTTCTTTTAACATGTCTGTATATTTTTTTACTAAGGAACTTCTGTGTTCTATGAGTATAATTGCCTGTACTCTGTATAATTTGTTTTATAACAGTTATCAAAAATGCAACTGCAAATTAAACCTACTGTATATTTGCTTATTTTACTGTTATGTAAATAAACTATACTTGCTAAAAAAAATGAATAAAGAATAAGAAAGGGTATCCTTTTACACGGCCTTTTCTTGAGACTAATGAGACTTTCCCCCCTTTTCCATGAACATACAGTATATACGCCACTCCTTGTCCATCCCTCCAGCCAGGGTGACAAAGAAACTTCAGATTGTGACTGTACACCGATAGTAATGGTGCATATAATATAATAATGGGGTACATGGATAGTCATGATGTACAACGATAGTATTAACATATTGCGAAGATAGTAGTAGTAATAGAAGCATACAGCGTAGATAAGGAAGTGCTTGCTGACAATGCTGTAGTGGCCGCCATAAATGGTGGCGCGGCTTGTGGTCTACCAGTACTTTATCTGCACCTCACTGATACACTTCACAACTGGCTCCTGTGGACGGTTACCAGAGGAAGGTGATGAGTTTGGCCCCATCTCTAGTGGAATATTTCATAAATTGAGCGTATTTTTGACAGTGTTGTGGTCGCTCTGCTGGACCTGTCACCTAAACCACGGATCACCCAGGATACTAATCATACTATCACCTATAGTTACACCCTACAGCAGGCACGGGCAACCTTTCCTCAGTCATGGACCACATTACGATTTAGATATTTTTCTGCGGGCCAACCCAGCGAAATTTATATCCTACCTAACCCAAAACAGGGGCGGATCCAGGAATCTCAAAAGGGGTCCAAAAAGTTGTGTGTGGGGGGAGCGTAGCCAGCCCAGCTAGCCCACCCAGCTGTTTTTGGGGGGGTTGTAAGCCCCCCAGAATTTTTTTGAAATTTGACCAATATCGTGGGTATTTTGAGGCCATTTTTAGGCCATGCACACTTGATATGAAGAGATATTCTGTGCTCAGTAGTAATTACTTTTTATAATAGAAAAGCGCCTGAGTACAACTCTGCATTAAAGAAATAAGTATTGGAATTTTCTAATGAAAAAAGGGGTTACGGACCCCCAGGACCCCCTTCTGGATCCGCCCCTCCAAAAATAACGTTGGTATTGTATTAGCACGGACAGTGAAACAATTTATCGTCACGTCCACCTGGCGATATTTTCAGTTTACAATCACAGTCTTTTTTTCCATTTATGAAACAAATCCATCATAACAATTTCGTAAGTACTGTAATATGTTAATGTTTCTTGGCATTTAACAGAAGGTGAGTGAAGCAGTCTGTGAATATGTTGATTTTTCCTACAGTTACAGCATATGTCTTACTTATGAGACACGCCCACCAGAATAATGTATGTTAATCTTGGTGCATGAGGAACTACAATGGCGAGAGGCAGTCTGTCAACAAGGAAGAGACCTTTACCTTTGACCCGTGTGACCACCGCCCGTGACCCCACTTGGACTTACCCAACCTTAGTTAATTCCCAAGTGACCCTGTGCCACATTAGCAGTTAATCCATCAAACAGACCGCGCCGAATTTGTGTGTGAAGATTATTCTTTTAATAAATATCGCTTTACTCACCATAAACTGGCTGGATCCATCTGAACCCCGGGCCACATTAAATGGAATTTCTCAATCAATTCGCGAGCCGCACAAAGACTGGTTCGGGCCGCGGGTTGCCCATGCCTGATCTACATATGTTGCGAAAAGTGACGCGATGAATGTAAATAGAGTTAAGTAGAATTACCGTAAGTAAAATATACTTGTAAATGTTTTATACACAAAGTAATAGATTATTAAGTAACTTAAATGATTACGTTGAACTACTTTCAAAGTGTCTTTACAATAATTCCTTCGGCAGATGAGTCAGTGTGCTATCGTCAACCGTTTCCTGGCGGATGAGGAAATATAGAAAATATAGTTTGAATGTACTTAAACGACAGATAATTAGTGCCTCACTTATAACACAGGTTGTCAGCCAAGACACAAGTGCTAGTTTACTGGGTAATGTGTCTGTTAGGAGTGTGCTAAGATACATACTTCGTGACTTTGGGTTGCTGTGGGGAACAGCTGCAAAGAAAACTTTCTTGACAGCTGCACATGAAGAGAAACAAATTAATTTGGCTAAAGAATAGTCTTAAGGTGTAAATACGGGTGATAGTAACCCTGGGTGATCATCTGGTGCTCAGGAGACATGTCTAGCAGGGCGACCAAAAACACTGAAAAGTACGCTCGATTTATAGAAAATTCCTCAAGCAGGCCACCCTCTTCTGGAGATGTTATGGACACTGAGTTAATATGGTAACTTCCATTGTGTTGCCATACGAGTGAGCTAGCTGTTACATTGACCATATTTTAATTCCGCTCATAGGAGCCAGCTGTGAAGTGCATCAGTGAGGTGCGGCAAAGGTACCGGTAGACCACGTGCTGCACCACTATTTATGGCGGCCACTTGCACATGTAACCTGGTATTCGGTATGTTTACAGGCTTTCCACGAGATAACGTCGGACCACAAAGAGATGACAAGGAACGACATGGCCATCAGGGTAGAGGACTTCACCTTCTCGTTCTCCATCCTGACGACCCTGCCAGAGGACCTGCTGCCTTGGGAACACCTCCGTCAGGTCTCCCTCGTGTACAACCAATGGAATTGTGACTGCAACATGAAGTGGGTAAAAAGCTCCCCCTTGATGGATCTGGTTGGAGTTCGCATGGTGTAAGTACTTCGTTTTTCATTGTGTATTAATCGTTCAATAACCCTACAGGTCAGTCTAGGATTGGTATCCGGTGTGAGTCAATACCACAGTGTATGAACATATCACCTCAAGGTATTGCAAAACTTAAGTGACTCATAAATATTCAGACCACAGGAGGAGATAAACCTGTCCTGTCACAACCTGTGTTTGGTTTGTGAAGTCAAACCACAGGTGACACACGCCCCAGGTTAACCTGCGAGTGAGTGTTCAAGGTGTATTAGGACCGCCCTTGTGACAAAAGAGCTGTCTTGGTATAACATCAACATAGCAGCCATTTGTGAGTCCCAGCTCTCACAGAACGGGGGTCCGGCTATACCTTCTTCTGGAAGGGTAAGCCTGCTGCAGAGAAAAATGGCATGTATGGAGTTGGCTTTGCAATTCGCCAATCCACCATACAGTACACAGGCTGACTAAAATGCCTGTTAGGATCAATGAGCGACTCATGGAGCTCGAGTCCCACTGAACTACTCATGTCATGCCTTCTTCATCAACGCATACACACCAACACTGGATGCAGAGGATGACATCAAGGAGGCCTTTTACACCATCCTTGACAGAGTGCTAACCTCTATCCCCAGAGAAGATTAAGTTTTGCTCCTAGGTGATTTCAATGCCAGAGGTCGCAGAGATGCTGATATATGGCAGGGAATCATAGGGAGAAATGGAGTAGGCAAGTGTAATCCCAACAGCCTACTCCTTCTCAGCAAGTGTGCTGCACACAACCTCACTGTCACCAACACTTTGTTTGGGCAGGCCAACAAGGTCAATGGCTCGTGGCAACACCAGCGATCCAAACACTGGCATCTCATTGAATACATCATTGTCAAAGAAAGAGATTGCTGAGATGTCCTCATCACCCGAGCCATGCGTGGCTCAGACCACTGCGACACTGATCATCTGCCCATCAGAGCCAAACTCTCCCTTCACGTCGCCCCAAAATGGAGAAGGCAACAAGCCTCCAGAAGAGATTTTAGCACCAGGTGATTGGAGGATCCATCCCTAGAACATGCTTTCAGAGAGCAGTTCATAGATGGGCTGATAAACAACCCAACAACAAACAACCCTATTCTGAGTGCCAAATGGGGTATCCTAGACACTGTCATCACAAAAAAAAAAATCTACCACAAGACCCTCGGCCAGATCGAAAGAAACACCAGAACTGGTTTAATGAAAATAACCAGCAAATGGACAAACTCCTCAAAGGTAAATGTAATGCTCTCACTGACTGGCAGAACAACCCTCAATCTCGGACCAAAGCTGATACCTGAAGAAAGTGAGGGCTCACCACAAACTTTGCAATCTAAAGAACGAATGGTGGAAAAATAAAGCGTATGAAATTAAAAATTTTGTGGATCAACACAAGATGCGTGAAAATTTCAATTCCACTAAAACAATGTATGGCCCAACTACTCATGGTGCAGCCCCCCTCTGCTCATCTGACAGTAACTCCTTAATTAAAGACGAAGAAGGCATCCTTCAGCGCTGGAAAGAGCACTACCATTCGCTGCTCAACCAAAACACCGATGTGAATGTCTTGACTACCCAGCAGGTCCCTCAGCATCCAGAGCTGAACCACCTCAGCTATCCCCCATCCCTGGATGAGGTAGCTACTGCCATCAAACAGATGGAAAATAACAAAGCCACAGGTGTATAAAGCCGAGGTGTATAAAGCAGGAGGACCTCTGCTTACCAGCTGTCTCCACTCTCTCCTGGAGAATATATGGGTGAAGGAGCAAATCCTCCAAGATCTTAAAGACGCCTCCATCATCAATATTTATAAGAACAAAGGAGACCGGTCAGACTGTGGCAACTACTGCGGGATCTCACTGCTGTCTGTAGCTGGCAAGATTATACCCCTGAGTCCTCATAAACAGACTTCTTTCTGAGGCGGAAAACTTCCTTCCAGAATCTCAATGTGGCTTTAGACCATCATGTGGTACCACTCATATGATCTTTGCTGCTGAACTGATACAGGAACAGTGCAGAGAACAGCGTCGTGACCTGTACATGGTCTTCATCGACCTAACGAAGGCCCTCGACCAGATCAACAGGGAAGCCATTTGGCAGACCCTCAGCCGTTTTGGTTGCCCACCAAAATTCAGCACCATTGTGAGGCAACTCCACGATGGTTTGAACGGTAGTGTCTTGCACAATGGCACCCAATCTGAGTTCTTCCCCATCCAAATTGGGGTTAAACATGGTGTGTACTGGCATCAACTCTCTTTTCCATTTTCATGGCTGGCTTCCTTACTCGTGCCAGTGCCAATTTAGCCGGCGGGGTGGACATCCAGTACCGGGTGAAGGGGGATCTTTTCAATATACGACGACTCCAGGCAAGAAAAAAGGTGTCGACAACTTCTATCACTGAACTTCAGTATGTAGACGACCTCACCCTCATCGCTCACACGAACGCGACCTACAGGAGATCCTAAACTCCTACTCAGATGTGTATGCACACTTCGGCCTTGAGGTGAATGTATATAAAACTCAGATTCTCTTTCAGCCTGCCCCTGGTTCAACCATACGTTTACACATCCATTCAGCTTAATGGTACTACTCTCTCTAATGTCATCCACTTTCAGTTTCTTGGCTCCCACCTGTCCACCACCATGGACATCGATGAAGAGATTCGACATCAGATCAGATGGGCATCTCAAGTCTTTGGCAGATTACATAACTATGTGTTTTCAGCTGTAGGGAGCTGAAATTATCCACAAATTTGCACGTATATCGAGCAGTGGTCCTCCCCACCCTGCTGCATGACAGTGAGACATGGGTCACATACAGAAGGCACCTCAAGGCACTTGAAAACTTTCACCAACGTAGTCTACGTTCCATCCTCCGGGTTCATTGGGAAGACAAGCAAACAAATGCCAGTATTCTCGTTGACACCAACTGTAGGAGCATGGACGACAGTAGACTGCCAAAGCAGCTACTTTACAGTCACCTAAAAAATGGTAAATGTAACGCTGGTAGGCAACGGAAAAGGTATATGGAAAGTCTTAAAACAAACCTGAAAAGTGCCAAATCGACTCCCTCACATAGGAGACGATCACTCCACACCATAACGCTTGGAGGAACACCACACGGGGTGTCAATACTTTCGAGTTAGCCAGACTGCATACCGAGGCAGACAAGCGCCGGCGCTGGAAAGAAGCTGCCGCCGCCCCTACCGTACTAGATGTAGCCCTCCACACGTGCAACATCTCGTAGCTGTCTCTCGAGTCACCCAGAGCTCACCAACGAAAGTGACATCTCTAACTCATACCATTGTATCATAGCTGGATGATCGTCATACTCGATTCCGATTGACAGCAAAGAAATAGCAGTAGTATTAAGAGAGACTAGTTTGTGTACAGGTCACATTACCTGGACTTACACACCCATGTGCACCTTCTTCATTCCTGACGTCCCCATTCCTTCAAAAAATCAAACAAAATAGGGGCAATGCGCTAAAGGTCTGGGTCGCAACATTAAAAAAAAAAGTGCCATCCGGCATGAGCAGGCGCCTCACTTGAGTGCAATCAAGTTTTTGTTTTTACTATTATACAGAGTATCATTCTTGTGTCACACACTCAGTAATTCCATCCTTCCTAAATATGAATTTGTACCATATTCTTATTTCCAAGATGATATTCTTGAAATAATGAACAATAAGGTTATACAAATATACAGTACTTAACAGCCACCTACAAAACATACTGTACATTGCTGTAATATTCATATACCAGATATTCTCACTAACACGACTGTTACTGTGCTCCCTGAAGGGTTGGGATTATCTTGTGTTATATGTATGGTTTTCATGGTATTCTAAAACTGATGAACAGTGTTGGTTGGTACAGGTGTTCACAGCCTCCGCGCCTACGTGGTCGCCACCTCAAGGGCGTAGATGAAAAGGACCTTCTCTGTGGCCACGAGATTGCCTCATCAAGGAAGTAAGTTTCCTCACGCCCACCCCTGTTGTCCTTTACTTCTCATCAAACTCACTCTTTTACAGGAAATATAATTTTTTAAAAAATATAACAAAATGTTTCACAAATCTCCAAGCCACAATAACCTCAACCAGTTCAAATCACCCTGCCTCAGTTACTTATCATCAGTCTTTAGCGAGATCAGGACGACACTTTCTTGATCTCTCTCTAAGCCTTTGATTTAATTGACTGATTTATGAAATTTAGGCTCAAATTCAAACACTGGAGCCGGTTTTGATTTGGCTGGGGGTGTAGAAGGTGACTAAAATGCCTGAACCTGACTTATAATAATAATAATAATAATAATAATAATAATAATAATAATAATAATAATAATAATAATAATAATAATAATGATAATAATAATTAACGGTTTCTTGAAAAAGTTCTGCAGCCCGAAGGCTGAAAATATACAATGGGCACAAATGACTTATTACATACATTGGTGGTTTAACAAAAGCATTCATTAGAGAAAGGTAAAGGAACATAGTGAACATAAAGATTAATGTAGGTGTTGAACAGCAATCACGTAGTGTAGTAACTCCCTCCCAGATGGTGTTATGAGGGACCTCACGTGGTGTAGTAATTCCCTCACAGGTGGTGTTATGAGGGGCATGACGTGGTGTAGTAATTCCCTCACAGATGGTGTTATGAGGGGCCTGACGTGGTGTAGTAATTCCCTCACAGATGGTGTTATGAAGGACCTGACGTGGTGTAGTAATTCCCTCACAGATGGTGTTATGAGGGACCTGACGTGGTGTAGTAATTCCCTCACAGATGGTGTTATGTGGCTACTGAGGTGATAATGAACTTATTCTAAGACTACAGTACTACATAAAACATCTGCGGTACTGATGACTTTATTTCGTCACTTTTCAATAGTTTTTCAATATCCTGTACTAACACTGGAGCAATAAAGTTCATAATAAAAATAACATAAAACTGACCAATCGCCGGAGCGGTTAAGATTGTACACTAATACAAGGTCAAATGATAAAGTAAATGGCCAGATAAACTAAAGATGATTATTGTTTACAGAAACCTATGAAACGTCTTCCTAAAGTGTTAGTTCCTCAAGACAACTCAATAATATATATATATATATATATATATATATATATATATATATATATATATATATATATATATATATATATATATATATATATATATTTTATTATTTAATTGTTTTTGTTTTTTCGTGTTGTGGTGGTTCACTGTGGGAGACAAAAACTAAAAAAAACTCACCGAATAAAATTAACGTAACCCCAAAGGGGATCTATAGACCATTTCCAAGATGCGATTAATAATAAATATAAAAATATCTTAGAACATCTTTAGATAAATTACCATAACGATAACCTAATCTAGCCAAATTTTTCCCAACTTAACCCAACCTAACGACCTAACTTAACCTAATCCCCTAGGTAACATAGTGTAATTAATCTTCACGTGAAATAAGCCGTGAATAATCTTCAGGTGATCCAAAATCTTTACATTGTATTTAAGGAGCAAGAATCTTGGACTTTGTAAGATACCGTGACATGTTTTTACCACACAAGAGGAGTGCGTTGTACGTCAATGTATATGTCCATAGTTCAATGGGCCTCTACTTAACTAGATATTATTTCCTATATTCCCTTAATGTAGTTGACAATCTATTGTTGTACTCACAGGGCCTTCGGATTCCTCGCGGGACTGATGGCTGTTGGAATCGTTGCGAGTCTAGGGACGGTGGCGCTGCTGGTGTACTGGAGGCGTGGATGGCTGTGTCGTCGTCCAGCGGGAGTCTACACCAACATTGAGCGCACCCCAAAAACTATCACTGTGGCCGACGAGTTGCCATGGGACAACCCTGAGTTTCAGTCCGGCAATGAAAATTCACAAGATTATAGCGTTTTAGACTAGACAACAAATTTGCTAAGAAAGTGTTTAGATCAGTGGTTCTCAACCTGGGGGCCATGGCCCCCAAGGGAGCTACGGCGAGCTGTTATAAATTGCACGTTTCCAAATAATGTTGGGAATCTGAATTAAACAAAACTTGTATTACTTATTTTCACTTGGCAGAAGAGAATTTTCATTCTTTTTTTTTTGTCATTTTGTTTAATCATAACGACAATACAATTTTAATATTTACATACTCTGGTGCTATTTTTTTTATTATTTTTTCCGGATTATTTAAGATTTCACAGGTCCAGTCCCTGTCTGTGTGACAGGCGCTGGACCGAGCTGCTGAACTGACTTGTTCAGTACGTGTCCGTGTGTCAAGTGGTGATAGGACCGAATGATCTCAGTCTGGCCTGGGATACCATCACGAAAACAGTGGAGTGTTTTGTCTCTAAACCATATACTGTATTGTGTTTGAGGTTGACTCAAGCATAATATGCTCCGTAATTGGTGCTATTTATTTTGATTCATAATTCATGTGGTCGCTGCTTTACGTGGGTGAAATATTTGTACACTTCCTTTATTAATTATTTCCTCATTTATTGGTGCCATTGTTGTTCATACTCATTCTTTACTTATATAATCCTCCCATTTTAGTGCTAAATTGGTATGACTCACTATTCTTCTCATTCTTCCAAGTTGGGCAGTGCTTGTCAAAGGAGGCGTGTTCTTGCTTACAGGAAGAACACTTCAGCTTGCTAGCTTGAGTGTGAATGTTTACCTGTGTGCATGTTTGTGTATGGCTGTGTGTGTGCTTTATGTGTGAGTGCATGGGCGTGTTATGTATGTGAATGTGTGTGTGTGTTTGCCATTCTAACTCTTGTCCTTCTTTATCATTCTTTAGTCTTTATCACTTGTCTGTTTGTCTGTTCTGGGAGAAAAATGAAGGAGGCCACGAGGATGTTGAAAATTCCTCAAGGGGGGAATGGAGTGAAAAAGGTTGAGAACCAAAGGTTTAGATCAACGATCACACGTGAAAATTCAGTTATGTGACGTCACCGAGGAAAGAAAAGCTTGCCAGTGATTATTTGGGTGAAGTGATGAATAGTGAGACTTAAGGACTCCAGTATTTAAGTCTGGTTTACGATGTAGGCTGTCTGTACTATACTCCCAAACTTCAGCACTGTTACACAAGCATAGTGTTTTAATGTTTATAAGACCAAGGAATATTAACTGTACAGAAATTGAACATTGGGAGTTGCATGTGAGTAATCTAAAATACTTTTCATATTATTGTAATTATTATGAACAATAAATAATGTAATTATACATTTTATTTTTGTATATGAGGTAATGGTAGTAAGGACCTGTGTTATAAAGACACACTTGGTCAACTACTAATACAATACCAAGTTGTCACCTGTTATACTTCACTTATTATAATCAACCTGAACACAGCTACTTGTACAGGTAGTATCGGTGTATAATGTATTATCATTTTGCAAAGAAGGGAATTTGTTTTAAACAAAAAGAGGATTCCCAAAAGAACCTCTGGTGCTATTATAGCGAGCGGTCTACTGTACAAGATATTTAGGTTAGGTTAAAAAAAAAGTTAAGTTAAGTTAGGCTAAGTTTGGTAAGGTTAGATTTAACTAAAGATATCTTTGTAGACTGCGCGCTATATTAGTAGGGGTGATTAATATTTAGGTGGAATAAGCTAGGGTGACTAGTGATGAGTTATTGAGGTTTATCAACCTAACTTAATCCAACCTACAGACCGTAAATAACAAGCACCTTTGAGTGTACACAATCCTGAGGACAAAAGGATAATCATTACTTTTTATCAACTAAAAATGTCAACACAACCTACATACATTCTTAGAAAATAATAAAAAATAAACGTGTTATAAATTAAGACAGACTCCAGAGCTAGATAAGATACCAAACACTTCAGCCTTTTAGGGGACAGCCTATAAAATCTAACGAGCGTGCACGCTCTCCTGGTCCACGCGCTGATTGGTGGGAACCAGGGTTTAGCAAACCGCGGACCACTGTTATTGGTCTCCCAGCTCGCTTATTGGCTATCGGACCAGCCGATCACAAGCTACTGCTGGACCAATCACAGACCACCACTGATTTCGCACATCTTCAGCTCGCCTTCACAGTGTATGGACCTCTCTTCCCAGAAACCTACACCGCCAAAGCCAGCCAACCTTATACCCTGTTGACGACCGGACCACCGCGCCACCTACCTTTGCCTTGAACTACACTGTCTAACATTGGACAAGGGAAGTCAGGATCTTCTTTAAAATACTTGCTGGAGGCAACGCCCTTTCTCTGTGGCCCCTACTGCTCTGGGAGCACTTCCCGAACAAAGGCGATGCAGCTTGGGCAAGCTGTAGCGGTATCCTGCAGCATCAAACTATCTAACGACCGTCTCTAAACTACCCCACGAGCGTTCGAGGCTGTCAACACCAGCTAGTCCTCCCTACAGGTAGTGTGAGTAATCTACACTCCCACTGGAGGGCGGCTGCTGGGTGCCAGTCTTGATGTGGTTGGACGTCTTTTTCTTCCCCTACTGTCTTTCTCTACTTACCCTGGCCACTAATAAAGAATTTGTGCCAAAGCCTCTCCAGTGGCGCACACCTCACAGTAGAGTGGAATTATGTGTGTCCATTAGGGGTAGGGTATAACGGGCCGAGTTCTTCTCATTTTATAATTTACCATCCAGATATTCTTTTCTGTTAACATTCTCCAATTCTTTATTTATAAATGTATTTTATACTCTTGCTTATATTCTTATATAAGTAATTCTTTCCTTAGTTATGTATGTTAGTTAGATTAAACTTTCATGGTGTAGTTATTTAATAATTTCAAGGCTGTGTCTTTAGTTCCACAATGTACATACATGTCTTATCTGTCTTTTCTTATACTTTCCAAGTCTTTCATTTCTTTTCATATGCTGTATATTATATTTTCTAAATTTATATGTCCTTACCTTTCTGAAGTATTTACTCTGTTTTACTTATATTCTCATACATGGGTTAGCCTGGGGAACCATGTTATTCTTAGTACAACACTTATTATACTCACAAGGGTAGCTGCCACCACCCAGATTTTTAGTATATAACATAACTCATGGAAAGTTTTTGGGTAGTGTGGTAGATGTATAGACACGTGAGTATTATTTTCTGTGAACCAATGTTTAGAAGGAGTAGAGTGGTGATACTCGTAGATTATTAATTCAATATTTATTAACACAGTGAGTGAATAAGATGTGACTTAAATTCACTCAGACAAAACTGGACCCTCAGGTCTTACTGTACCATTGATCACATAGATCCACAATTACTTATTAATTCATTAAACACTTCAAGTACTTATTATATCATTAAACAACTCCAAGTACTTATTATACTAGTCAACAACTATTACTCATTACTTCATTAGACAACTGTTGTATTATTTCTTTGACAAGTAAGATTCAAAAATTATTACCCACTGTCAGATAACACTGGACCCGCAAGTCTAACTTTTATAAGTAACAAACTACATCTTCGATTCTTGGTTACAACATTTAATAATCAATATATTATTCCATTGTTACTGCAAGTGGATAATATGACACACTTGACAATATCCCAAATCAACTTATAACATCACGTTCTATCGGCATGAACATGATACCTTTTCTTCAGTTCATGTACTCAACTCACATAACATATTTCCTGGTAATATCAACATTTGTGGGTTCATTACTTAACCAGGGATTTCCATATTTCTGTTAGTTAATCCCTCAATCAAGATACAATAATACTTAGGCCCATGTAACTGTGAGGAGTGCCCCAAGGTATATATCCCGGGTGTCTCCATAACAAATGAAGATCGCTGTTAGGGGGTCGGTAGACACACGCCAAGGGAGCTGGCGCCTGATTTGCAGGACTTCACAGTTTGATCCTGTCGAATTAACGGCATCATCCAACCCGGCTACCGACCCACGGTAGCCGATGAGTATTCAGCTCAACACACTGGCCTGGAGAGACGTTGAGGAAGAGTCACGAATGCCTAAATGTCTAACTTCAACTATACAAAACATAAGTCTGGCAATGATTCAGACGACTCTTACTTTATATTTATCCTTTCACTGGGTAAATGATAATTTCACTGTTACAACATGAACACTGATAATCACAAAATTGACTAAGTTAAACTGAATTAATAGGCGGCGGGGAAAACACGTTAACATACCTGGAGAGACGTTGAGAAAGAGTCACGAATGTGTGATTCTCCCTCGTGTAGAGGTATATACGTGCACCCGCGGGGCAGCTTGGGCCTCCGTATTCATACCAGAAAGGTGGATCTTACCAACAACATACCTTCTCTACCATTTTGGATCACCGTATACTTAGTTATGAACTCCTGGGTTCCTCATCAGGGTAATTTCCAATGTCGATTCATATAATCTAATCAGGGGTTGAGCTTGCCAGGAAAAGGTGGAATATTGTAGGGTTATGAGATATTGGTTCACACTCAGGATGGGATGGAGAAAGGAAACTCACAATGTGCTCACTGTATACATATTGTATTGGATGTACAATGCAGCTTGTTGCTGGGTAGGTAGCATGGTAATAAGCGTTGAGTAGAGAGAGCTGGGTGGTGAGGGTGCCCAGAGTGAGGGCATGCGGCTTGAGGGACGCCAAGGTCGCTGGCAGGAGCGGCAGCCGCAAGGCTGGCGCGGAGGAGGAGGTGTTGCTTGCTGGTGGCACTGTGTAGTGTTACGAACCACACCATCAATTGTCATGATCTACCTACCCAGCACCACGAGCAACGCCATCTAGGGACGAAACCCGAGTATGACTAGTCTTAGTTACCACTCCGGGGTTTCCCTTCTCCATATCCTGGTTGTTGCGTCACCTCCTCCAAGTCTTCCTCATCAGATCCAGATCGAGGAAAGTTCAGTTCACTCTGGGAAGTGACCACAGGATCACCTATCCTGGAAACCTACGGCACAGTGACTACCTACCGTCTTCTACAATACTCAGCCTTACTCGTCAGCCATCTCAGCTCCGCACTTAAGTATTTGTTATCCTATATTGCCTCCCCGCGTCCACTTGCT